CTCTGGAATTTTTTCAAAAGTTGCTTCCGCTTGTGAAAAGTTCTGCTCAAGTCTTGGCTATTGAACAGCGAAAATCGCAGGTCTCTATCTCATTCCTATCAAAAGTTATTCAAAAAGTGGCATCCTGTACTGTATTTTGGTACGGATACTAGTCGGATGAATGCGACTTCTAAACCCTCTACTGCTGTGTAAACATTTAAATGGATTTTATAGATGAAAGGGCAGTTACACTATGCTCAAGTTGCGATATCAAACACATACATTCGATAAAGATCGCCGACAGGCTTTCCTTTTCCTCGACTACTTCACTTAGCGTCTCGAAACGAAAATTCTAGGTATAGAACACTTGCGCTAGGCACAAATTACGATGTCGACAAGCTTTAACTCATCACTTACTTCTATAGGTTTTTTCTAACTTTCTCTCCTTCGTGGGGAAAATTATGAGACAACAAAATTCAAAAACAATGGGATATTGATAGAGAACGCGTTCTTCGCTTGTTAGATAAGGCGTCGAAGAAAGTCATTAAAATTTTTCGAGCCGAAAAGGTTTAAGCCTATCTCCCTTCCAGATTCTACGGTTGTCAGTGTAGCTCCAATGTTCAGATATGGACCATCACTTTTCCTTGGTTAGCACCGTTGTTCAATTTGAAGGAGGTGTGGTGCTCTAGATCACGGAAGTTTATCTTTCGTACAAAAAGTGTGACAGGAAAAATTGTTTTCCCAGGATTAATATTTAGAAACGGTGTGGAACGAAAATTCTTAAAGCCCATTTTGTTCCGACTGCTGGTCTCTCTGAAACTGAATTGTCTTTGCATATCCGAAAAAGTGACACTTTTCAATTATCAGTCAGAACTGTGCTGCAGCCGGTTTTACTTCTGACGATCATAAAACTTACTTTATACACAAAGTAAGAGGTGCAGCACAGTATCGCATTTTTCTGTTTCAAAAACTTATTTTTACATAAAAACATGGAGCTTTTATTTATCGGAAAACATTCCCGTTGTACTTCCAAATATAAACTTGAATAGTTTTCTACCATTTTATTATTCATGAATTAGTAAACCAAATAATTACATGAAAACATAGTTAAAACTATAACTGTATATATATAAAATTTACACATATTTGAACATACGAGAAACAGACGGAAAAGAGTACAGGGCATAACATGACGTGACACATAGTACTGAGCAATACATAATGTTAGCAGAACAAAAAGGAAAAGAATAGTCATATTTCTAAACATATGATCTCTTTATGTCCTATTGACATAAAAATTTCACTAAAAGTTGTAATAATAAAGGTTGCAACCCAACAGTTTTGTTTTACTTTTGTTCTTGTTGCAATTGTTTTCTCATCAAATGTAACGTTTTAATAAATCGTCTTAATTTACGTTTTAAACCAGAATAGAGTATGTATTCAACTGTAGTGTGTGCAGCATTGTAGATATCAAATTCTTGACATATTTCATTCATAACTTCGTTGAATCGATCATCCTCATTCTTATTTGGATACTCATCTTCATCAAAGAAGTACGATTTCGGCGTATCATAACCAAATAGAACCATATACGTTGTGAATGTTGCACCTAATTCTTCTGTCAGAACTTTATGAAATTCTGTATTTGTTAAAGTATACCAATTTTTCTCAAAAACTTGTTTCTCGGCCATCATTTTTTTAATTAACTATGTGAAGTCTGAAATGAAATTATTTTCGAATAGATAAACAATTCTAGATAAACGAGAATTTTTTCAACAGGACAGTGAACAAAAAATACGAGCGTAAGAAAGGTTATATTTTCTAAAAAAATTGATATCATAAAAAACAGTGCACCAATAAAAATTTCATAAAATATATAGTATTTCTGTAAAAACGTCCGGTTACTTTTGTTATTTTTTCACTTGTTTTTTCATCGTATATAATGTCTTAATAAATCGTTTTAATTGTCGTTTTCGGCCAGCATACAGTCTATATACAGATGTACTGCGACCATCATTTATTTCATAATCATTGTAAATATCAAATTGTTCACATATTTCATTCATAACTTCATTAATTTGATCATCTTCATTTTGTATTGTACTGTCATTTTCATTGAAGAAGAATGATTCCGCTGTATCATAACCAAATAGTACCATATACGTTGTAAATGTTTCACTGAGTTCATATTCTAGCAGTTTATGAAAATCATCATGTGATAAAGTATACCAATTCTTTCCAGTGTCTTGTTGATCGGTCATAATTTTTGTTATTTAACTGTACAGTATTTTATCTAAAATAAACATTTATGGTTTAACAATCCTTCCTCAGGTATAAGTCATAAGAGAAAATAGAGTGAGAAATTAATGCCGGAACAGATTATGAAACCAATTGATTATTGTAGTTTACATCAGGTTTAGGAAGTATGATTTCAATAATTCTTAATATTGGTGTTATACGAGAAAGTGGATAATCTAATTCTATATCAATATTATTTAAGTTTGAAAATAATTGTAAGACATTTTAAAAATGTATACATTTGTTCCTAAGTAATTAACGGATGCGGCAGAATAAATGGCCGATTTGTATTTTGACCATAACTTTTTTGAATTTCATGCTATAGAGCTATACTTTTTTTCAAAAGATGCCCCGTAAAATTCTCTACAAAACCAGGCCCAAGCGAATTTTCTAGAGCAAGATATGGCAGAATAATAAAAGGAGAAGTATACACGTCTAAAACTATCAACTTTCCAAGACGAAAACCAATCTTTTTACTTTTGTAGTCTCTGTTGCTAATAAAATGAAAAACTGACACTACCATTCGAAAGAACACGGAATTCTACACTAGAAACTTATATGAAACGATTTGTTGAGCCTTAGCTTAACCCACAAAAAAGAAATTCGTTTTCTTTGATTTTTCAAAAAATACCGTTTTTAATTCATGTATGTGGTCGCTTCACGAAAAGCCTTCCTACACAGCCAAAACTTGTCCGTTTCTGACAATTTTTTTTATTTTGAACCTTGCAGTCGCAGCTATCCAATGATTCTAGTCTTAAAGTCATAGATCATCCCGGGTCGGCTCTATTTGTCGCAGAATATGTAAAAGCACGATTTAGCGCACCTTCCAAAAACTCTTAGTTTTGCATCGCCGGTTCCACTGACAAAGAATTTTGCTGTAATGGATCAGAAAGAGCACACGTTAGTACTAGAAAATGACAAAGTTAAAAAACTATATTTAGTTATAAAGGTAGAAAAAACGGAAGAAAGTTTTGACAACTGGTCTTGGAAAGTTGATAGTTTTAGACGTGTATACTTCTCCTTTTATTATTTTGCCATATCTTGCTCTAGAAAATTCGCTTGGCCCTGATTTTGTAGAAAATTTTACGGGGCATCTTTTAAAAAGAAGTATAGCTATATAGCATGAAATCCAAAAGAGTTATGATCAAAATACAAATCGGCCATTTATTCTGCCGCACCCGTTAGATACTTCCCAAGTGCTTCATCTAGATGACTAGATTTTTTTACTCGATTGCAACTATTGGCGTGGAAATCCAGTAATCGGGCGATTGTCAGATTTCTCCAAGTTGCCCGATTTGTCGCCAATCGATCGATTTAACTAATGCTAGTTACACATGGAGACGCATCTAGTTAAAAGTCCCTTTTCCACCTGATAATCTAGATGGTAACTAGTCGTGTATCGCCCGATTACAGGCGAATGTACCTAGATTCTTCCTATAGGTGATGTTTGCTGGGGTTTAATATAAAATGTAAATGTTTTATCTGACGACTTAATAATGACCGTATAGGATGAAGTGTAGAATCCATTCGCAATTTTAACATGAAACTATACTGTGCGGATAACCATAATCTCCTTAGTTTGGTAATTTTAATAATAATTAATAGAGAAAATCAAGATTATTCAGATTATATTCGATGTAAAGACACTATTGTCCGTTCACAAAACGAATGGTATATGACTGTTTTTTGAATAACTTTTGATAGAAAAGAGCTAGCCATTATTCTGGCTAGTGAACGGTCATTTTGAAAAAAAAGAGGACAGAAGAGGATGTTCTAAATTTTCTTTCAGAACTTTAGTGTCGAAAAACGAGAAAAAAAGAGGATTTGTTCCGCTCTAAAAGTGTATTGATATAAAGAATATATCTAAAAATAAGAGACCTTTATACTCATGAAAATAGACTATTTTCTGTTAGCGACGTTTCGTCTTTATGCAGAAGACCCTAGTGGAACTTCTTGTAACCACGATCTTGACTTCTTGAATTTTTCCATTAAGATCTTAACTCCCTCGTAGCATTCACGGGATCCGGACAAGATCGTACCAAGATCCCGGTATGATTAGAACAAGATTGCAGGAAGGCTGAGAAAGCTTTCCTACCACTTATCTGATTGTCACTACATCCTTTCGATGGTTTAATCTCATTTCCACCAAATTTCACCATGTTTTACTCGGTATTTTCTTCAAGAACATGAAGTAATTAGAGATTTTCTCCTAGAACATCTTCAGAGTACGCAGCAATTTATTTTTTTTGTTTTGAGTTATACGCTCCATTTCATTTCAACGTCACAAAGTTGAACTATTATTAATTTGCTCATCTAAAGTGTGATATTGTTTTTGCCGATGAGAAGTTTCATCTCAGATGTATCTTTGGCTTCTTCATCGGTGTACTTTTCAGTATTGATTCGAAACGTTAATGCCACTGCATCTCAGAATAGAAGTGAGAGGGACCGTCTTTGTGTTTTATCTGTGAGTTGTGCCAATAAGGTAACGTTTGCCATGTGAAGACAACATTCACTCTTGAACTTCCTGTGAATGTGTATCTGTAGATACTTGACACTCGGATCAGTTCGCTGCGTCCTGTGATTGAGATACTCTGGCTGTCCCGCTAGCCTCTGTGCATCAAACAGGATCGAAATGATCGTTGCTACATTCTGAAAGACTCAAACGGCAAAGCAATCTTACACCGAGGTAACCGACAATTTGTGATATTTCAACCTTGTGTATTTCTCTCACTGTTGTGACTTTTCATTCTGAGATCTCTGCATAGTCAACATATTTAACTGAATCTACACACCGGAGAAGACTTTAGATTTGATGCATTGTCCGAGAAAGAATATTCTCTTTCGATTCTAAAACTGTCAAGAAGAAACTGTCAACTTTGAGACAAAAAAATCAATTTTCCTCTCCGAATGCTCTTCTCTCTCGAAAATTGTTGTATACTTACTGATGACTATAGTCAAACAGTTAGTCCATTTTCATTAACCACAACAAAACCCAAAAAACACTCGTTGCACTGCGTTAATAAGTTAAGAAATGACTGTAATTGACTTGTATTGTATATCTATTACATATGTTAAAAGAGAACAAAGAATAAACACAGTGGACGATGATATACGCACACTGTCTGTCTGTTTTTCTTCTTCTATCGACCGATGGACGAAATAAAAAAATATTACATCGTTACAGACTGATTTAAAGGAAAATACGAAGTCAGTGATCAAGAACGCGATTCCTATTATAAGATAGCGATTTTATTTTGTCAACATCAGCATTTTTTCGTTACACGGAAAAAAATCGGGTTCGCGATCAGATCTCAGCAAGAATGAAACGGGAATATCATTAAGGTTGATAAGAAAATATAAGAATTCAAGATCTCGAACATCTTGTAATTTCTTGACTTCTTGTACCAAGATCTTGAAAATTCTTGAATCATCGTTTTGTTTTACACTCTTATGTAAATATAACTTCGAATTTTTTTTCTTCTTGAGCAGTTGTTTAAGGAAGAATCTATGACTCTGTATGGTCGTATATCCAATGGCTACGACTGTCATAAATAAAAACAAAATGTACAGAAAATTTGTCACTCACGCTCTTGCAACATCACTCAAGATCTTGAGTGAAGTAAGCCAAGATGTTTCAAGGTCTTGCGCGAAAGATTCAAGAATTCGAGATCTTGACTTCTTGGTGTTTTTTCCAAGATCTTAGGGGTACAAGAAGTTTCACTACGGACCTCAGCAGTCAAATGTGATAGACGATAGTTGATTCAGAATAAAATGGAATCCAAATATATAGAATGCCTTCAGTCGTCATATATTGTGAAAAAGGAAAAGTTGTATTTATCTATTTTGTATTTTATCTTTTATTTTGAATCAATTATCATCTGTCACATTTGACTCATGATGTCTTTTGAATAAATAAACGCCTCTTCTAACTGAAAATACTTTATTTTCATGATTATAAAGGTGGTTTATAGAGATGGGCCGTAATACGTAGGTCTCGAAAGAAAGGAACGAACGATTATTCGTTATTCACTATACCAAACTATGTTTCATTTATAACGAGTAAAGAATATTCGAATAATGAGTATACGAATACACGTCTGAAAAGAAAGAGAAAAGAGCTTAAACGTACGTAACAAACGTAATACGGATTGAACGTAACAGTAGTTTTCTCTTATATATGTTGAACGAAGAAACGTAAGAGCCAATGAGTAGGGAACTTCTTACGTTTCTTACGTAAGGAGCTCATTATTACGTTTAGGCGAACTACTTTCGTCTGTACTCACTCATAAATCAGTGATAGTATAGTTTGTCTTTTCCGAATGAGAACGAACGGAACTAAGTTATATGAATAGTCGACTATTCGTAATGAGACATAATGATGAAATGAAAAGAACGAAAGTGAGAAAATTCATCCTTCTGTCGCTTCGTATACTTCACATTAAACGTATTCGTTCTATTCGACTTCATTACGGCCCATCTCTAACGCTGAATGTTCTCGTTAACTTTCTCTTCCTTCATGATGACATACATATCAAACGATTCACCCAGAGTAAATGGCATCTTGTCGATACGTCCAACTGATCTTGCGGAACAAACAACATCAAAGGTAACATCAAAAGTGAGGGTGAGTATTAGGGACGCATTGAGAGTAAACCGGTTAAATATATCCACTGCAATTGCAATTATATCAACCACATGTTTTATTTGCTTTTCATCATATGCAAAATGGAACATACACATACCCTAAATGATTAATCACTGGAAGACCAAATATTTTCTATTCCCTTCGTCTAGTCAAGCACAGTGCCTATACAGTTCTAATGTTTCCGTTATCATTTTATTACTGCACGTGACAAACATTGATTAGTCCTTAGTTTGACTTAAGGACTAATCACATGAAAAATTCCTCTTAATCATCTTTATATTTTTTTCATTAAATATAACGTTACTGGCCAACAAATCAACATTTTTGTTTCATAAAGATCGTTATCATCTTTGTTATTAGATGATTTGTAACAATAAACAAGTTTATTGGCGAATTGTTGCAAAAGGTGGTTACATTCTTTTTCGCCATTTCGCTCTTTGAACAACTGGCATGCACTCCATGTTTCAACCAGTTTCATATATTGTTTTATGGACATTTCCTTCTCACAATTAACCACATGTTTCACGCGCGTACGTTCGTATGGAAATAAGTGCATTATCAAATCGTAATTATAATGGAGCTTTTTTAGTTCATCGCTCCAGCCAGTATTATCCAGAAGGTGAAGATAAAATTCTTGCTCTACATTCTGAGCCTCCTCATTGTCAAATGTGTTGAAATTATTATAAAACCAAATACACAGAACACCGCCATTAGGACGTAAAACACGATCGACTTGTATAAAAAATTTCTCAATATTAAACCAATGAAGAGCTGTGGCGACGGTGATGAGATCAACAGAATTCGGAGAAAGAAAAGTCAAATCTTCGGCATTACGGCATTGATAGTCGATATTGTCTTTCTGCATCGGATTTGCAAGCTGATTTTGACTACCATCGATACCAATGACTTTGTCACAATATCTGCTCAAATCAACCGTTGCTTGACCACTACCACAGCCAATATCGAGAGCTAACGGGACTTTTTCTTGAGACGGATTACTTGTGTTAAAATAATATTGAATAATATGATCGTACAATTGTGCTGAATAAGTTGGTCTGTAATCTCTGTAATTTGCAATGTGCACGTTTTTGCTAAACAATGGATATTTCATATTTGACGACATTTCTCTCTGTTTCACACTTTATATACTCTAAAAGACACATTGATCAAAACACCATAACTTTGAATGGACTGATGTGCCTTCATTCCTATCAGATGAAAAACGTCCTGAACATGTTCTTAAGCACTAAAATCTTGAAATCCAAACGCCTCTATTCTTACTACCTGAATTCTCTTTCCCCTCTCCGATGAGGTCGATCTCAACCTTTTTTCAAAATAGATACCCAAAATTGCCGAAACCGACTATGCACCCGCGTTGCAGTTTGCAGATTAGCAAAAAAACCTTTTGTTCTGTACAGGCAGAGGCCGAGGGTGAAAACTTGGGTTACTGGAACTTCGCCATTAAGACTTTCGCCAACTGGCCATTCGCCAACGCCGAAATTCCATCGTACTTTCACCAACATACCTTATGGATTTTTGCCTATTGGCGAGAGTCCACGTAACTTTTGCCAATGTATCCTACAGAATTTCACCAATTGTCGAATGTCCACTGTACTTCTGCCAGTGCATTTCTCACACTTTCGCCAGTTACAGCGTAACTTGAATTTGTAATGAAAAAATTTCAACGATTGTTTTATTGTCATCGATACTAGAGCTTGATCTGTGTCAGTCTCCACATATCTCAAATCGACATCCTTTCTTGATAATCAATGAAAGTATGCTGGAATATCGCCAATAAAGTACTGGATTTTAGTCAATTGGCGAAAGTCCAATGGACTTTCGCCAATAAACTGCAGCACTTTCGCCATTGGCGAATGTCCTGTTGGCGAAAGTCTTATTGGCGAAATTCGGTAACCCCGAAAACTTCTGCACTCCTCTGCAGGTTGACTGCAGGTGAACCCTAAGGTGAGGTATAACATTTTGTTTTTCGGCTAACCACTATGAGTCTGTATTACACCCTGATAATTATACACTGCATCACCAGTTACGATCAGCGGTGTACACAGGATTTTTAGACCAATGGACAAACTTCTATTATGTCGGAAAAAAACGATCGGCAAAATCGGCAAGGTTTTTGTTGGTGGACCAAAACATTTGTGGTCCAAAAAGAACACAAAAAAAATGAAATCAAATTTTTTCAGTCAAAGATTTGCATCAAACTCAAATACATTTACTATCTAATTCAAAAATAAACAGATAATTCTGTCTCTCCACACTCTTACATATATCTTACTAAACATTATACGAAAACAACTTCATGCCTATATCTCCCAAGTAAAATTTCAATGGGCAAAAACTTACTAATAAAAATTACGATGGGCGAATCTCCAGATGGAATGGGCAATTGCCCATTTGCCCCCCTGGATACGCCGTTGGTTAAGATTCACTATCCTTGTTCTATATTTTTGTTTTTCTGCTATCGTGATAGTCTTTTGTCATCTTCTATATACTATACGTAGTGCACATAGTAAAAGAAACATTACACACGATAAGAACGAAATTCATTGTTTTTCTTTCTTCTATATTTTTCGTTTAGTTTAGTTTAGTTTAAACTTTATTCATTTAAGACAGAGAAATAAGAATAGTCATTCGACACAGATGCGGTCTAGACCATTATATCAGAAGAACATGACATAGCAAATGATATAAGCGATTACGGATAAAACGTTTCTCTCCTTCATCTTAAAATGTCTAGTAGATATACAAAAAAAACTGTTAGTTAGTTTCTATTCGTTAACAGATCATTTTGATGTATTGATGATCATTTGATCATTTGAACAGATCATTTTGATGTAATGTAAAATATTGATCAGTATTTCACTTAGTCTCCTCTCTTTGTTCATACAAAAACGTCTTTCCCTGCAGTGAATGCAGGTAAAATCTTCTCCCCTGCAGTGCAGCCAGGAAAACATTCTTCTTTATCTGCCGGCCGCTAGTGGAAACATTTTTCATTCACCAGCAAACTGCAACCTGCAACCTGCCTGCACTGCAGACAGTTTTAAATGCAGGTGATCAGCTCTGGTTTTTATACGTGGTTTCTCGCAGTCAGTTTGGCATGGTGTTTTTTCACGGTTTTAGTTGTTCATGTTTTTGTCTCCTATGGTTCCAATATGACAGTTTTGCTTTAACGGTTTTATAACTCTTAGAAAAACCGTTCAGGTAAAACTGTGCTAGTAAAACCATCGACTTTGAAAGGGAAGAAAAAAGAACAGCTCCTTCAAGAATCGAACCTGCGACACCTGGCGAGTATGGATTACGAGACCAAGACACAAATGACTGAACTGAGGAACTTACAGAAGTATGTCTTCGCACTGCATACTCATCGTGTTCTCGGGTAGATTTTTGTAAAAACTTCAACACTTTACAAAAAGCTGTCGCTGTCGAATTTGTAAAGCTCCTCGCTATCGTACATGTATTTGAGATATGAAAAAGAAACGCTAATTGTATAAGTGTGCACATATGTCATATGATACCATCGAGTGTATTCTATGATCAACGTCTAGAAACTTATGGTTAGGAGAAGATATTCATTATACCCTTCCCCTCTACCTTCTAAGACTCTTCACGTTTTTATTTTCATTGATTTCCTTTGACAAACTGTCAGTTCATGATTTTATTTCTACAGTTTTGGCCTTTACGATATTTTTTCATGGTTTTAATTATACAGTTCTTAAACTAACAGTTTTATTTTAGGGGTTTTCTTCAACGATTCGAAAGTGCACGGTATTGTTCCTATGGTTTTAACCGTTACGGTTTTATTGCCATTGTTTTTCCTTTATACTTTTGCATTTTACGGTTTTCATAATGTAGTTTTACACCTCATGATTCTCCTACACGATTTTCTTTCGATGGTTATGGATTTTACGGTTCTGTTTTCACCCTGTACTTCTCGGAATTTTAAAAAACCGTTTCTATATCGGAAGTTTTTTCTTGTCCATGAACTTCCATAACTTTTTTTCTGTCAGAAAACACAGCCTGGATCCTTCAGAAAAATTACTAACAAAATATTGTTTTTTAAATGAAAGGACACTTTCCATTCCAAATGTGAACCTATACTGGGCATACACAGGTTCTAGTCTGGATTCCATCCACACCGCAGCTTAATCCATCATGTTTGAAAGGAGGAATTACACGTCACATTGAAAGTCTGAGCTGATAAACGTTTTTATATAGATGTAGAATATAGTAATGGTCTCATCGTTACACTTTGCTGAAAAAAACGGCATTGTGCTGCATATTGGCGTAGCCACCTAATTCTGCTACCGTAACGTCTTTTCATCATTTTGTTTTGTTTATAAATCGTAAACCAAACAAAGTGGACAGCTATAACACGTCTTAAATTGAAGAGACAACTTTTATGAACATTTTAAAACGTATCTTAGCATTGTAACATGCCTCGTTTTAAAGATCTGATAGAGATATTAGAAACTATTTTTGCGCATTCAAACTTTGCAGAATCGAAAAGTAGTTGCCAATATTTCTATCAGATCTTTAAAGCGAGACATGTCGTTTGGTTTACGATTTATAAACAAAATAATATGATGAGAAAACTTTACGGAATTCCTTTACGGTAGCAGTGTTAGCTGACCACGCCGATATGATACATCTTTTGGATATAGTATGCTCGTAGTGTTGAATTTTTTTACTCTTTAATGCACCTTTTCTTCAGTTTTTTCTACGCTTATCTTTTAGCTAACTTTTATCCCCTGCAAAAAGACCGTAAAAAGACCTCAGTAGTGAGTTGTCCTTGTTAAAGAAAAATAAATTTCCTGAAACGGGTTTCAGGAAAACTCAGAAAATTTGTATTCTTTTTTACGGCATTTTGTCGAGCACATCGAGTGACATATGCTATGAAAGAATTTCTTCCAGCTGGCGCATAATGCCTGAGAAATGAGTTTTTCGATATTGCATTGTCTTTGCGGTTCTCAATAGTTTAGCTCTCTTTAGAAAAATCAAACTCAGCAATTAACGGTCGTAGAACTGTGGTTCAAATACAATTTAATAAGAAATTGATTGTACTTGATACCTTATAAGAGAAAATTGAAAAAATTTGCAATACAATATTATTTTTAATAAAAATAACCTGCAGTGGATGGTAATTTCTCACACCGGATACTTTCGCAGTTGTTTTATAACTTTATTGATTCATAGTAACGAGGCCAGTGACAGGATCATTTTAGGCCTAACGTTTAACAATATGTAATCAAATAACAATGAAAGATAGATTGAAATCAGAAGGGAAAGAAGGAAGTAACAGTAAAAATAAAATATAAAATGAAATAAATAAACGGTAAATGATAAGTGATAGGTTCTGTAGATATGATGGATTTATGGCTTATAAATAGAATTAAAATGAATTAGACATGCTGTTAGTTTTCAAATCTTCCTGTTTCAGAAATATAGAGTTCACAGCCCAAAAAATAGATGTTGCCTCATCCTCTCTCCTCTCAATCTCATTAAGTAGTAATATGTCCATGGTAAAGGTTTTTAAGAAATTTAGTTTTTGCTTTAAAATTATTCTTGCATTATTATATAGTGTACAATTAAGAAGATAGTGTTCAGCATCCTCTCTAACACTCCCACATATACACTTAGACGAATTTACACATTTATGTTTGAATAAATAATAGTTAAGTGCTGAAAAGTTTGATTTTATCCTAAAAAATAAAACTTCTACTCGACCTATCAAAAATATTAACTTTTTAGAAAATGGTGGTACTGTGGTTAAATCTGATTTTAAACTTATTCTCATTTTTGAAATGCTCATAGTGATATAATCACTATTATTCACTATCAGATTGTTCCATTCTTTCGTAACAACAGTAAAGAAATCTTTTTCTATATTATTAACTACCTCTAATGTAATGTTCGAATTACCTCGTAAATTATATCGAACATTTGGTCTATGAAACTGTAAATGATTGATTAGATAAGCGGGGGCAAGACCCTTAAATATTTTGAAAAATGTTAATAACCTCAAAATATAAAAATGTTTTTTTGTGGATATCCAACCTAAGATCTCATATAATCGGTCTTTTGATGTACCTTCCATTGTTCCACAGA